GTCTGGTCGATCGTTCGATAAGCGTAATTCAAGCGAATACTCGCGCGGACGGTCGAGCGAGCAATAATAGTTCTCAATAATAATAATATAATAATTATATTAATAATATAAAATAATATTCAAATAAGTACAAATGGTAGGCTCTTCCATCGTGAAACGCGTTGAAAGAATACAAAAACAGATTAGAAGAGTAAACGAGTATCGTGTAATATCGCAGCGTTCAATGATTCGATTATGTACCAACACACGATTGTTTCTAGCTCCTGCACACGATCGCGCAATCGAAGCGTGCACTTACGAACAACTTTCCCATCTCGACGAACAGATTATGAAACAGTGGAAGACGCAACAAACAAGAACAATCACAAGATTATAGACGAGTTTAAAAAAAAAACTGTACAAATCCGCGAACGAAGAACGAATCGTGAATCTAATTATTATTATTATTACAAGAAACCAGGATTCTCTGTGAAAATTGAGCGTCGAACATACCGCGATCGAATGTTTACAAAGAATAAAGAAAAACACATGAGCGCTACTCGTGCGGTGAACGTTCTCCATTTTTTATTCCCGCCCTCCGGGGAGCATGGCAACTTCCGTCACGCTGTTCCGACACTCCACCGTGTGTCGTTTCCTGGGGCTCCCCGACGCTATTTTTTTAATACGGGGCGGGGAGAAAAGAAAAGTCGAGAGACCTGTGCGCATGTGTCCAAAGTCTCTCGACCCTAGGTTCGGCACTCGTAACTAGGGTTCCGACCGACCGGTGCCGAAGCCCACCTTCCAACCTCCGTACACCCTTGCATCCATCATTTTTCTTTTGTTTTTTATTACCTTGCTACGATAGTTTTTATCGAATCTCGTGTGATCGAGAATCGTTCGATTCTGATCGATAAGAAATCGACAGGACGAGCGATGGTGAACGTCTCCTCCAGGTCTGGTGCCCTTCACCGTGTTTCGGTGTTACGTACCTGTCATCGGGGGCCAACATTCGTTAGCCGCGGTGCCCGCGAGATACGTGTAAAGTACAGGCTCTATATCGTACGTGTGTCTGTCTGTCTGTCTGTCTGTCTGTCTGTCTTGCAATGGTGAACGTGTACACCGGTGGAACGTGTACCCGGCAGCGAGCTCGATTCGAACGCTCGCGTGTGTCCGTTCGCGTAAAACTTCTCGTGTACTGCTATACGATTCGCAACGATCCCGTCCCGTGTGCTTGTTACACGTATACAAGTGTGCGTGAACCTGTGTAGCCTCCAGTGTCAATGTGTAACTCGTGTCAGTGTGCTCGCGTGTAGAAAATGCTAATTCCAGGGTCAAGAAGTTCCCTCCTTCTCCCCTTATCTGTTTCTACGTCGAGGCACCAGCTGGGGGGCTCGTTCGGCTCCTCCTGTCGTCTCTCCTCTTTACACAGTACATTATATGCAATAAGTATCGTTTTTCAGAATTTTTTTTTTTTTTCATTTGATGTTGCAGCACAGTTCAAGGGTTATTAAGTACGGGGATTGGGGGTGGACCTCGTGCGCCCTGCCGGCCAGGACTTGTACCTCACACAACTCCCTAGTTACGAGTACCGAGACCTAGTGATGGACTCTGAGGACGATTGTTCGATCGCGCACGAATTCTTGGGCACCTTGCACGGTTTCAATCTCTCTCTCTCTCTCTCTCTCTCTCTCTCTCACTCTCGCGTTTTATACTTGCACCCGGCGTGGGGAATCGAGTACCGATTTTACCGCAAACCGTCGCAACCCTGCTTAAAGTACCCTCGATGGATCAAACGACTGAGGAACTTGAAAATTTGATAAAACAATTATAGATACTCGATATATTTTACAAAAACTAATGACGTATAAATTGTTAATTTAAAAAGATCCATTAAGGTATCTCAAACAGGGGAAAATATAATACAGTTAATAATCGCTATTCACTTGTGTTCCTTTTCTCAACTCAGCTACTAATCGAAGGCTACCAATAAATTAAAGACTACGTCTAACGCGATTAAACGATTTTCACAAACGTGTTTCTTTTAATTAACCCATTCTCACCCTTTCACGCAGACATACCTACTGCTCGCACTCTCTCCCAAACCTCTCCGCAATATCCGCTGCACGCGCGCGAAGTACTTTTAAGTTAGAGACAACTCGAATAAGTTTCCGTTTAAAAATAGACACAAAATTTATCTCGCCACGCTTAAAAGCCTTACATGCTATTACGTATATCCTGATCACGATTAATAGTTCGGTTTAGCAAATCGAATCGCGCATCGCTCGCGTACCGACATTCACGAGCGACCGCTACCCGCCGTTACTTCGCAATTATTTCCCTCTCTCTCTTTCCCTCGATTATCATTATTCCCGACGCGAACGCTGTTGAATGTCTGCGACCAGATCGTTCGAAAAACAGACCGCAAAACGTTCAAAACGTGAGGACTTTTCAAATGTTTAGACGCTTTAAACGGCTGTCGCAAATGTTTCATCGATCGATCGCGACATCGTCGATCCGCGCGCGTTTCTGCTACGAGAGAAGACAAACTGACCGAAGAACGGTTCCCTATTCCATTCCCTGTTTCAAGGAAGTTCGAAGATCGTCAGTTACAGAGCGATCTTTCTGAATTCGATGCAACCCTATCGAATCGATTCGAGTGACTAAGAGAAAAAAAAACGCCCAAACCGCGCGAAGCCTAATGTCCGGGTTTCACTCGGTAGAACGTTCGATTCATCGATTGCTCCTGCGCTATTGTTCCCTAATCGAGTGGACCGATGATCCGAACGCGCGCCGAGTGGTATCCCCATTTGGCCTAACCGAGGAACACTCGACGAACTCATCCCGTCGCGAACTCCGCGGACGAACGCGTGTTCCCCACCTAACACGACCTCTCTGGCACACCGTGTCGCCCCGTACGCTGCCGTTTCTCTTCACCATAATGCCCGTGTTTGTTCGCGAAATCCGTGCGCTGTGCCGCACCGCGAGAGACCTTTCGTGGAGGTAAGAAAGGGTCGAGTCGATCGAGAGAGGCGCGCTGCCTCGGCGAAGCACGTGGCGCGAGAAACCACGTGCTCCGTGACCAAGGTAACGTGAACAGGAGGAAGCAAAAGCGACCAAGAGCGAAGACGGGGACGAGACGCAGATTGCATAAGGTCCCGTTCGGCTATAATAGCTCATCGTGACTGGTTGGCCCCTCGAGGACACCTCCGGACGTGTTTTGGAAGCGGAACAGACCGGCCGAAAATCGATGTCATCGGTCGGTTCTGGTCCGTCTGGCTCGGGACGAATTTAGAAACGTTTCTTCCTCGGTAGCACGCCGCGAATCTTACGTAACCACGGCTGTACGAGCAAACCGCGGCGAGGCGATCGAGTAGAGCTTTTGGGGAAGGTTTCGTTCCGTCCTCTCTACTCGATGAAGGAAGCAGATATCGTTGAGACACAGTTGATAGAATATCAGGCGATATGCCTTCGAGGAACAACTAACTTTGAAGCAAATCAGACACTTCTGGAAAGTTATTTACTGTACTATGTGGGTAAACTTCTCTGTGGGACAACAATTAACAGATAGAGAAAGGTACAAAGAGAAATGTGAAAAAAGTGGAATAGTAAATAGATAGAGATAGATAGAGACAGAAAGAAAGAAACGGTACGTGAATGAACTCAAAAGCCAGCCAAGTTGCCAAACAGAGTAACACTCGTCCTTCGCTCGGAGCAGTACGAGACACTCGCTAGCAACGTACTGGAAATTCCGACAAGTAGCGCCAGTCCAACAATTCGCTGATCCAATCGTGTAGAACCCACGATCCCTCTCTTTCAAAGACACCCCCGCTTGCAACCCTGGTGGCACGATCGTTCAAACTTTGCTCGAATAAGTAGAAGAATAAAAACGACAGTTGTCAAGTTTAGAAATCTTTCTCCGAGTTTGCGGAAATTGTCAGTCGCGATAGAGCTAACAGTGGACTCGAGTTTTCAAACAAGAAGTCTTGATAGAATATCAAGCGTAAAATCATTTTAAAATCATGTCATATTTTATTACTTGATCCTAATAACTAAGAAAATATCTGTTTAGCCTTCAAATCATGTCATATATATTAATTTAATACGATGTCAAGATTAAAATTATACAAAACGTTTGAAGTCACGTCATTCCATTACCATACCGATACTTTATAAAAATTAAGACTGATACGACGGTCTATCGTTAATTATTCACTGATTAGAGAATACGAGAAATGACAAACTGATCATCACCAAGACTAGACGACGAAGAAACGCCAGACAACCCGGCGTGCGTTTCAGGGGATCAAATCTCGACGAAATTAAAGAAGGACAGAGAGCAGTACGAGTGGAAGAAGTCTGAAGAGAAACCGTGAGCAGAAAGAAGAATGCACAGTATTGGAACGAGAACCTCCGTCGGTGGCGAAAGGAGGCGAGTGGTGAAAGAGGGTGTCGAGAGCTGTGGGACTCAGGAGGTCCCGCTGATCGTCGGCTCGACGGAGGAACCGGGCGGCGAGACGCGGCAGTAACGCGAGAGTAAACCGAGGTGAGAACAGATAAAAGGTCTCGCGGTATCGGCACGGAAGTCGCGTGGTCTATTACGAGCACGGATAAACGGCCGAGCTGATGGTGTGGTAGGCGGCGAGGGCGGCGTGCGCGTGCGCTGGGGGCGCGGATGCGGCTGCGTGCGGCGAGGTGGCCATCGCGGATGCCGCCGCGGCTGCCATCATCATCTGTTGGTGCGTACGCTTTAGGGAGTTGGGAGTTGTGGCGGCGCTACTTGGGGTAATAGCAGTAGTAGTGGTGGTGTTCGACTGCGGCGCAGGGTGGTGGTTTTGGCTTTGGTTTTGGCTCAGTTGCAAGGGGGTGGTAGTGGCGGTACTGCCGATACCGGCGTGATGATTATTATTATTATTGTTATTATTATTCTGGTGATGGTGGTGGTGGTGGTGGTGATGGTGGTGGTGGTGGGGGGTGATCGCGTCGTGCGGATAATAAGACGTTGACGATGGTGAGGTACTCACGACGTCCGGCGTGCTGGCTCCGTCCGTGTGGCTGGTGCTGTCTGCGGTGCTCCTCGGTCCGCCGCCGTCCAAACCATTACCCAGCTCCGGCGGTTTAGAGCTCTCCCTGTCGTCGATCACCAGATCGATCGGCATCTTGCCCTTCAAGCAGCTGATGTACCGGTGGCAGAAGTTATCACACAGTTCGTGGACCTGGGAACACGTGCAACGACATTTTTCATTATTTTGTATCATATCTATATATTAAACGCTAATAAACAATATGAAATCAATTGTTCGTCATTTCTTAAATTCGTTTCAATATCACGTTATAACCATTATAAGGAACCTTCCTCACACACATTTCTATGACGTTCCCGCGGCTCATATATTTTCTACCAAGGGTAAAACGTTCACCCGGTATTCTTCGACGTCACTGTACCAAAAGAGCCGCGCGCGCGAGCGCGGGATGGCGAGGCCGATACAAACGCTGGTATCGATATACAAAGATGGAGTAGGCCGGCCAGGAGCGGAGAGGAGAGGCTCGTTGCATCTCGAGGCCGGTCCGGCAGCGAGCGACGAGAGACGAGCCGCGCTGCATCCGAGAGGAGCCAGCGAGAACGAGATGGAGCGAGGAGGTCTGACCGGTGTCCAGTCGACCAGAATGTTATGTATGCAAATGAGCTCTGACAGACCTATAGGATACCCGGTCCTCCAGCGTCCACCTCATGGTTCATCCTCCTCCCGGTTTCCCCTGACCCTGCCCTACCCACCCTGAGTCTCCCTGGAACCGACTCTCGGCCGTGCTCACTCGGTTCGGTTTAGAAAAAATGTATTATATAAGCAAAAGCAAATAAAAACGCTTATCTTGTTATATGTAAATCGGCGGGGAAGAGGGAGCGGGGTCCGCGGCGTGTCTCTCCTCTCGTTGCAAGCGCGTACACGCGCTTCGCCTTCTCCCCCGTGCTCCCTCCCCCCCTGACCCTTCTTCCCGGGCAACCTATCCACCTAGTAGATACTTATACGACGTTCTTCTTATTAGGCATTTATATGTAATAGAGAAGACGGCCATCTTTGCCGTAGGCGGCACCATCCAATAGTGGAACGCCGACACCGACCACCGTAGACAATGCACGCGTTTATCACGCGTTAAGTGTATGCGAGTGGACGCTTGATCGGAGACTCGGTCCTCTTTAGAGGAATCGTGCCATACCGTGCGTTAGCAAACGCAAGGGACACTATACGTACTTCTGCATGATACTTTATGACGCAATGGTACACACTGCTCGGTACATATACTGATGCCAGGCCTCATTGTTCCGCAGAGGTACTGGAATGTCACGACACAACGTCAAGTGGACGGATTTAACGATTGGAACGAATGTATTCCAAGTTCCCCTTATTTTCCTTCTGCCTTCTCTAACGTCGAAACTGTCCACCATGGGAAAATCGCTAGCGTGGACAAAAAGACCGCAACAGTGAGACGCGGCGCCTTCTGGTTCTCATACTCGCGGGTTCTCCGGGGTTTTCTCCGAAGTACGAACCGTGGCACGGTACGGTACGCGGGTAACACAATGCCTCCTCGAGATGACTAGACTCTCTTTAACGCAACCCGGGACCAAAAGGGCGGCGAGAGGGGGCGGAGAGAGAGCCAGCTCGAAGGACAGCAGCTATAATGCCGGACTGGTTAGAATTTGATCCGCCGGGAGTCGAGTCGAACCGGTCGACAATGCTCACCGAAGAAAAGAAACGGGGGTTCATCTCTCTCTCTGTCTCTTTCTCTCTCTCTCTGTCTCTCTCAGGCCGGACCGCCGCCGAATGGAGCCCGCTCTCTCGCCGAGAGAAGTGTTCACCTACACCTCCAGCCCGTTCGTGTATGTGCGCCCGCGCGCCCGGGAACACGGATATCGAGCCATTTTTTACCGGTTCGTACACGCAGTCCCTCCGGCTTCGGCAAAAATCGCCCCTCAGAACTCGACATCGCGTGAAACTCGAATCCAGCGCCGCTAACTGCTTGCGCGCTCGTACCCGGGCCGAACTTCCGGTTCGAGATCACGTGGACACAATCGGTACCGAGCGGGGGTTCACGCGACTCCTCGGAGTCGATACCGACGACGACGCGTCCACCAAAACCACTCACCGGGCTCATGATGTCGAACATGATACGATGCATCGCGGATGCGAGTTTTTGCCATCTATCGGCCCTCTGAATCGCGTCACCCTACACCACCGTGCAAGATCATCCTAACCGGGCTGACACTGGATCCAACGGGTCCTCCACGCCGATGATCGCACTTGACTTCTACTAGAGACCCTTTTCTGTGTTCCAATTTCACGCGAATAGGTAACAGCAGGCGATCGTCAATTTATTCTTACAATGAAAATAAGATAAATCGAGGAGACCTATTATAGACTGACCTATATTATAGACCTCTTATATTACTTCAGTGGTATTTTTCATAACAATGTTCTTCTGAAGAACGTTTAGAAGTTTAACGAAGCAAGTAATTGTAATTGGAACTAAACGTATGTTTTATAACATGCATATGTAATTATCATCGTCCTTTGATCGTTCACACGATTGACACAGTATCCCCCTGTCCTAGAGCCAAGGATACGCTAGGCAGCGCAGCACTTCTTTGGTATCTAATTTATCCAAGCGGGGGGACCGTGTTCTCGGATTTTCTGATACGAAGAACGAAGTAGTAGTGGGAAGACCACGGAAAATATCGAGTGTCTCAAAGGATCGCCGTTTCCTTTCCTCCGCGACTCGTCTAGGAGAAAGCTTTCCCTCCCACCACGTTGCTTTATCGATGGGATTATCCCATCGTGTAGGTATTTAATTTCCGCGAAAAACCGCGAGGGCGTAACAATTCTGAAAAGCCACGACTCGATGCAGAAGAGCGCGTACTCTGTCGCAAATAGCACAGGGGTATCGGTTTCGTGGCGAACGCATCTCGTGTTCCTTCCCTGTAAGGTGCATGCGACACCGGAGGCAAAGCCATTACCGGAAGGTGGACTCCCTTTCGGTGTACAAGCGCCACGGAGTAAGAAGACTACGAGGGTACGATACGCTGTCGCCAGTAACTCTAGATTATTCCCATTTTATAGCCGATTTAACAAGCTGCTCGCAGCTGGAGAAATTGTGAACTTCGCTCCCTTGCTTCTGCGAATCCTTTTTACAATGATTGGCAACAAACTCGCAATTACATAAAAAGTATAATGTAAAGCTTGTTACACGGATTACAATTTAACCTTTGAACTCACAGGATTTGTGAAACTTATCATTCCAAGAATTTTTCATTTCCCAGGTAAGTTTCCCTACTTCTCTTTTCATTCGACAAAGAGAGCCGAGGCGATGTTCGGTGGCCAGCGATGCAAACGCGAAGGCAAGGCAACGACAAAGAGAGGCGAGGGAAGAAGCGTGTCGTCGAGGAAGAACACAGAGGGCCACGAAACGAGTTCTCGATTCAAAGAGTTTTTAAACGGCCCCGTTGTCCCTTCTTCGTTTCCCTGGCTCCTTTCTCCTCCCCCTCGATCGCGCGAAGGGAGGTTCCGCACGAGGCGACATTATACCACCGCGACCCTCTTCCTCATCCCCTTTTCCGTTCCCGCTACGAAATTACTCGAGAATTTACGTAAACGAAGGAACGAACGAGCAAGTATCTCCCGCTGCTTCTCCTCCTTCCGCTCACCCCGTTTTCTGTTGACGGCCGCTGCTCTTGGAAAGGCAAGCGGCTCGAAGAATGGAACGGATCCAGGGTACGCGCAGGAACATAGCGAGGAAAGAAGGGAAAAAAGAAAGGAGGAGGAAAGAGGAGAGGAGAGCAGAGCGAACCCCATTTACGGCACAATGGGCTCCTTTGAAGCCGAAGGTAATGAAGGTTTCGGGGTGTCTGTCTCGGTTCCTCTTCCGTGGCCCGATTCACAACCTGACCACCCCTTACGACACGCACAGGGTACCCATATACCGGGTGTGTCCCTCAAAATAAACCGATCCTTCCACCGGCTGTCGATTACGTCTCGCACCATATTTCTCGGTGAAGGAATAACAATTGCTGTTTATCATAACGCATAATCTTCCGGAAGAATGACGTTGACTCATCGACACGAACTTCTCACGTGATCCTTAGAATTACTCGATCGCACAGAAAAATGAAACACATTTTTCCAACGTACACACAATTTGTTCGTCGCGCGTAAAATTAGCACCGCAATGAAAAATCAACACGATGAATATTACTGAGAAAAAAATAGATCGAATGCCTGTTTGACAATGCTATGATATAAACGGCAAATTGTCCTTGCAAGTAGAAATTATTACACATGTATGTACGTAACCGATCGAGTGTACATAACAATCAATTTATTGCTAGCTGGCCAGCTTCGAGCTGTTTAACTCTTACTGGTTATTAATTACCACGCAGACAGTTTACGAGTGTCGTAAACTACTCCTGTCGGTTTTTCACTGAAAATTCCTTCAATACTAATTTTCAGCTGTGTTATTGTTGCTCAATATATCGAAACAACATGCCAATTATTGAGAACTACTGAAGAATTATAAACTAACTTTAACACTAGATTGCCCAAGGAAGTCATTTTGACTGCTTTTGGGCAAATGTACAAATAATAATGCATAAATTATTTTTTTTCCAAAGTGAAGTAAATTTTTTTTATTGTTAACATTTACTAATAACTTGTTATATGACTGTAAATAATATAAAAAATATTAAAAATTAATTTTAGACAAATTTCTTTACACATTATTCTTTCACAATGCCAGTCATTTTGACTACTTTGGGCAATATAGGTATATACTAAGTTTCAGTCTTTCTAGTGTTAATAATTCTAATTCGGTCAATTTTCTAATACCTTCTGAGGACAGTCAGAGAAATTGAACTAGCAAACCCGGATGTCTGAGCCATCGAAAATCCATAGGAAGGAAGCGAGCACGCGGATGTCGCTAACGTACTAGGTAGAAGTTGGAACCAGTTCCCAGATCGTAAGGGGGAGGAGGAGGACGGTTTGTCCGCCGCGACGGTATGAATCCCGGTTGGTATGCATCGTGCGCCATAATACCCCATAAGAAATTTACCGCTCTCTAACCGGTGATGGCGTGTACTCGTGGCGCGCACAGGTCTAAACGTACGAGCGAGGGAGACGACGAGAGGAAAACGCGGTAGCCGGACGAGGACGAGTTGCAACCCAGAAAAGATCAACGGTGGAGAAGAGACTGACTCTCTCGGCGAGGCTGACGCGTGAGAGGGAAGAGGACGACGGAAAAAGGGAGAAGAGCAAGGGCCGTTCCTTCCGCGCACCGGGCCTCGGCAAAACGTAATTATGCTAATACGCGATTGGCTCGAAAATGTTAAATGCACGAAGCGCAGCACCGCGGGCTAACGTGCCTCTCCCCATTGGTGATCGACTCTCTCTCTCTCTCTCTCTCTCTCTATTCACTCCGGTTACCTCTTCTTCACTATCTTCCGCTCTCCGTCCGTCTCTCGCTACACGGAGCGCAGATATTTATGGAATCTTCTTGATCGCGCGTTCGCTGCATTCCGCTTTGCTCGCCTGTCTCGTGTCTCGTCTCGTCTCGCCGTGGCTCGGTCGCGTCCCCGAGGACCCCGGGGACCGGGAACGTTTCAATCTTCATTACCGTCGATGCCAGTGCGGCGCACACCGTGCCAAATTGCGGCCAGGTTTTGTCGCGGCTTTTCGAGACCCGCCCCGCGATATCGCGGCTACGATCTCGTTGAAATAAATTCACCGCGCCGCTCGTAGGAGACGCGCGTCTTCCGATGTGGGAGGAAAAAGCTACGATCGCTAAGGAATATCGTTTGGTGTCTTGATCCCCGGTCGAACGATTTCTTATTTGCCCGCAGTGCACCCATACGTCGATTAAATCATTCCGGACTTTGATTTGTACATTCCTGAACTCCAGATCGCTGGCTCATTTCTTGTTACGTACTCTCAGGTTTTATCCTATATTTCCCTTCGACAGTAGGTTTCTCGGGCAAATTATATAGGGACAAAAATCACAGTTTGAACCGTGCAAATACGATCATCAAGGTTTTCACCCGTAAGTAATTGACTCTCGCACGAAGATGCGCGCGAGGCCGAGGAAGGTAGAGACGAGCCGCGTTCGGCTTGGATACTCGCCGGTAGGCAGTCCCGGTGCTTTATAATAATGTAATCGCGGCAAATGAGGAAAATTGCTATAAAATTGCAGGATCGACCGGTCGATCCAGGCGGGCCTGAGAGGGACCTGAACGGGGCATCTCGTTTCCCCTTGCCCGGGCAATGGCTGCCGCCGCGTCAGCTGCCATTTCGATGGAAATGCGATGGATGTCCGCTATTTCGTATGATAAAATATCGCCGCAAAAAACGGTGTAGCTCCGGCCGGGCCCTGGGCCCGCCCCGGTATTCACCGGTCGGTCCCCGTGCAAACAGCTACCTTCTGAAAACTTCCTCTCTCTCTCTCTTCCGCCGCTTGCGCGCGCGGGTTATCAATCGTTAGCCGGGGAAAAACAGAGAGCCGAAACGCGCTGCGCCGCGGCCTTCTAATGCAATATTTATTTACCGTGCCTTCCAGTGGAGTAACAACGCGAGAAACGCGCGCGGAATATTAACCGCAGCCACGGCGTCCGAGTTCAATTAATCTCGATCGGTGTTCCTCTCGTGTTTCGCCGATTGAATCGCGACGCGGGCCGGATCCTCGTCTTTTTCGAGGTCCGCGGGGACCGATTGCGGACCCGGAATCATCTGCCCGACCGGCTTAATGACGACCAGCGACCTTCAGCAAATCTCAGTCATGATGGTTTCATGAAACATTCAGGGAGGTGTAATGGTTGTCTCGATTTCTGTTCCCAATTTCTACTCACTGGCTTATGATTACGTACGAAATGATAAGAGAAAAGCTAGTAAATAGAAATTGTTACGTGAACAACAATTAGGTCACGTAGTATACTTCTGATATTCCATGCAATTTTGTGTATTGCACTTTTTCATTTTCTGCGTGTTCAATTTCCAAATGCACGAAGCCCGCAGCCTACTTATTACCAATTGAATGTCTCGGTTATTCCGTATAATTTCCTCGTTCGCAGCCCGACATGGACAAATGAACATGATGATAACGCCGCGTACAAATTATGTGTCTCCCTCTTTCTCTCTGTGCGTACTCTAATTCGGGACAGGTGTACCGTGACTGGAGAGTTTCTGTTTCCACGGGGAAGAGGTCAAGCAAAAATTGCGATCCCGGTTCGAGAAAGATGGCCGTTTCAAACGGCTCGAATAGCGGCCATTGGACAGTTAAATGACGCCACTTACGCTAGGAACTCGGTAAGGTGTACGCTCTGTATACTCGGCGACGGGTGGTGCCGAGCTTTCACTACAATTACGGGAAATTGCGCTCCGCTCGCAACAGTTGTTTTTCCAACGCAGCGTACCGAATGGCTTATCCGCCGCGAGACGCCCAACAATTGGAGCTCTCGTTGACACTCGAACTACCCCAACCGAATCACCCTTCTGTCTTTTTAATACGTTTGCTCGTTCTGTTGTCTGCGCAACCAGAATTCTTCTCGATACGAGCTTATTGTATTTACTTGATATTAATATTACGACAATCGTGTTCATATTATCATGATGTAAAAACATAAGGTGTGTTCTTGCGCATCCATTTGAACATCCATCTGTAGACGGACACTTCCACTCGTTGGCCATTTTGGATTTCTAACCAATCACGCTTCATATTAAAACAGAGCGAATTTTAAAATCGTAAACATGTTAAAAATTAGGTTCTCGGAGTGTAATATATATGCGTGTTTGAAATAAACAATAGGTCATCGTACTTCCAATATGGCCGATGAGTGGAAGGCGCAAACAGCGACACATTTGAACACGACGGAAGAACACACCTTATGTTTTTACATCATGCATATTATAATGTGTTAACAGATATAGAACACATTCTATAATAAATAATATGAATTCAGTTTAATGTAAACGTGATTTTGAAACGAATTATAAGCAACTGAAATAAACTACGAATATATACGATGGTAAAAGGTACTTACCTTTTCGAGCTCGAGGAGGTGAAACCGGAGGACCTGGATCGCCTGTACCATCTGCAACAAGAGAAAAAGAAAAAAATCGAATAAGATTCATCGGGCAGAAAGGGTTAGGCTGAGGCTAAGGAGAAATACGGGACGCGAAGTGTTCTCGGAGAACCATGAAGATTCGAGGGTATATCGCGGTTCTATTTATTTCCCCGGGACACGGAAAGCTCCGCAGACTATCAGCCGATTCACTCCGCGAGGATTAACGGGAATTAATTATTATTGCATCTGCGCACCGCTAATTGCGTCCTCGAAATTCCGTACTGCATCGACCGATCGATAGGCGTTCGGCTATCGGTGATACCGGTTCAGCGACCCCCAATGATACCTGTTAATGAAGCAGCAGCGGATCTTTCTCCTTAAGGAAGGGACCCGACGAAAGGAGCTAGAAAATCGTATACGATTTCTGGTTTCTTTCTCCTCCCTCATTGGGATAATTGCTAAAAAGATATCTCGTAATTTTCTCCGGGCACGATTCCCGATCCGAAGTCCCGAGATCCCGGTGCTATCTCAGTCCTCACGAGAGCCAATACTCTTCGCAACCTCGCCTTCTATCACCCACCCTGTCGTTTTTTATTTCTCTGAATCCGCGCGGCGGAGTGTCGCCTGTGTGTGTATATAAATATACACGCATTTTTCTAAAGTCGACTCGGTCACGTTTCTTCCCTCGCGGCTCGAACTAAACGTGTGCACGTGCATACCTCGGGCCACGGCCATCGGCATAATTTTCCGATACGGCGTTACGTTTTAAAGCCAAGCTCGAGGCCCTCCGCAATCTACACTCGCCTCCCCAGCCTGACCCCTTTTTCTCTCCGCTGCAACCACTCAACGAGTGAGAAGAAACCCGGGATCTGTCCCCCGTCCCCGGCTTCCGGGACGCAGCCAGCAGAAGCCGCGATTCAATTAGGCAAAGCGGTAATCTTAATTGTTAATTAACATTATATTTATGCAATTATGGCCCATTATGATTCCGCGTGGCCGATAACCGAGCGACCGCGATGAGTGTTCCTTCAGATAGCAAAAGCGGCCCTTCTCCACAGTTGTTCGACTCATCCCTTTTCACCGTTCTTTCTCGGTGCATCCTTTTTCTCTCGGGTGAACAAGCAATGAACCGGACCCGGTGAACGCACTAGGAACTCGTGTTCAAGCACGATTATTTTATATTAATACGAGTTTTAATTAATAAATATATGTCAAAATAATAAATCCATGGAGTGCTCTATAATCGTTCGTACATAATCGTATGTATAGACCAGAATACCGGTCAAGTTATGCGCATAATTTGATAAATAGTTAAATGCATTCAAATTGAAACGTAAACTAGTAGGAACGTATCTACACCTATGCCGATAAGAAACCTGACCAGAAGCTAACCGAAGGATATTAAAGCAATAACAGCTTCATAATTTGTTTGTTTTCCTTCTAAAAATAGGAAGAGAATTAAAATAAAATACCTGGTGTCTTCTAAATAACGTCGATCAGGCAAAGATTGGTCGTGTTTGCAAGCCTCTAGTTTCGCGAATAATAAGTGAAGCAAGGAAATTTATGGGAACCGATTGTCCATCGTTACTTGTAATCACCGCGTTGTGTAATTGGAAATGAAGGGCTAATCCACGTTCGACTGTACTTTAAAATATATTAGAATATCGTCGACCGTTTCGTTTTCCGCTCTGAGGTTTTGCATATCGAAGCGATAGCGAGCATTGATAACGACGCGGAATTCGCAGCCGATATTCCTCTTTAGTTTCACTTGTGGGAATTTTAAAAACAGTACAATTTTTAAACACTCTAATTCATAAAAAAACTGACAATTTACCATATCATAGTTAATAGAAGTTTTTGCAGTGTTCTCATGTGAATTAGGCGAACATTCGTATATTAATATTACATAATAATTACCTAACTTCACTTAATTATTTATCACTAAATATAATGAAATCTAATGGATTTCGCGAAGTGAAAATCGAATCTCTGCCTCGGCGGAGGAACGTCGATGGCGAGTTGAAAAAAGGCGCGCAGGCACGCCGCCGCAACGCGAGCAGAACGCTCAGGAAGAAGAAAGGAAAAAACAGAAGAAGAAGAAGAAGAAGAAGAAGAAGACGGTATCGCGGCGGTAACGAACGGACGCGCAACACACACACTCTCTCTTTCTTTCTCTCGCAACCCCGTTCGAAGTTGACGAGATGGTGCGAGGCGAACCAGGCGATTCGCCACAACGCGACGCGTTCCTCCGCACAATGTGTCCTCTATATCCGAGCATGCGGTTTTGTTGCTCTCCAGTCAGAGCAAAAGCATCCGTAGGCCCAGTCTCTCTCGCCTTTCTGTCTATCCTCCCCGTTCCGTTATCTACTCCCGATGTTTCCTCGCGTGTTTCCCTACCGATCGAACGCCATCTCGTTCGAATGATTCATTTCTCCCGTACGAATAACATTAATCTTATCTCGAATTTCATTAGTTGAAAGCAGGAAATGTTTTAAGGGATTGTTACGATTTGAAGAGAAATAAGAAGATCGACAGAGAACAATAATTTGAAGATCGTAACACACAATTCCTGAGGTTATTCGTAATCCTGACTAAACTTTCTATAGTAATTATTTAGAGCCTGAATCATTTTTGTTTGACGTGAAGAAGTAAACAGTCTTTATTAAGTTAATTAGCATCGAATGTTTGGAATGATTTACCCGAAGCCGAAGTCCGCATAAGTAATCTGAAACGAAGGGCATCGAAGTCCCTCATGAAAGCCACAATATGTTCTCTGTACTCGTGTCACGGATCGCGTTACTCGTTCTTCCCGGGCGAGGTTTTGCCGCGATCGCTCATCACGTGATATTAATTAGCCTTGCAGAACGAGGCAAGAAGAAGAGGAAGAGAAAAACTGCGAAACGCGCGAAGAAACGGGGAGATGGTGTTATTTATAAGCAGACGGGCACGACCGAGGCGCGCACTCGGAAGCGACGAAACACGGCTATCGGAACACCGCCTTTCCTCTCTCGATCCTCCTTCGCGACGTCCCCGGCGACGTACCACGCGTGCATTGTTCGCTGCAGACCCGCGCATTTGATGCATGCTCGAGATACGGAAATCGCGGACGCGCAAATCAGCGCACCCGATTGTGCGCACGCACGCTTGTATCTCTCCCGCTTCCCCCTTGTTCGATTCTGCGTGCAGTATTACGCGATGGCAGCAAGATTTATGGCCGCTTCAGATCATTATTTTTAACAATATACATGCAAAATAAAATCTTTTACTATCAAAATGGGATATTTAGTTTGTTCCTCAAACGTAATACGTTTAACGCACGTAATATCGTTTGAACAATCGATTGGCAATAATTATTTCGAGCCACGCGGCTTGTCTAATTCCGAAAGTCTCGCGATCCGTCGTGTTCTCTTTAATTCGGGCAAATTAGTTGGCATTGAGACGGTACACTGCTCGCCAAAAGTTACCGAACACCGTGCAATCAGTCTACAGACGCAATTTAGTATTCGTACAAAATAGATTTTCGTTCAACGCTTTTATCTCGAAATTATTTCAATGCTTGTGCCTTTATTTAATGCATTATTTCCACTCTTAACTAAAGTACCGCTTGATTTTAACAACTGTGATAAATCAGAGGAATATATGACACATTAAAAAAAATACCAACCCCTATAAACTACATCACAGATTGTATCAGAAGTTTGTTAATATCTATTTAAACGTCTAATCAACGGCGGACTAATGAAGATACAGACAGCAGTTAACGTTTTATTGGTTATTCGCAGCTTTTTTACGACGTCCTCGCGATACGTATTTTTTGTAGAAAAAAGGACGTAAAGTTGCTGTCATAACGCATCGTCGGCCACTTTATCGGAGGGAAACGGCGACGGCAGACGGTCTCCTTCGCGAAACCCATAGACCAGCCGACAATAATAATGATAACGTAGTTAAGCGTCGAATATAAGGAAGGCCGATACTCAGTTGCCGGTTATCTCGACAACGAGCCGCACGAACGACAAAGCGAATCGCGTGACTCTCCTTTCGTCCCTCCCCATATGCGCGCACGATGCGAGCGGCGACTCTAATGAATGGTCGTTAATTGTATCAATTATTAACGAGGGACATCGCGCGGACGCCGCGACGACTCTTATCGATGTCCAGTGATTTACGAGTCGAGCCTTCTCCCACCTTTCTCTCTATCTCTCTCTCTCTCTCTCTCTCTCTCTTTCACTGTCCTTTCCCCTATGCCCGCGGCATGCGTTGCACCGTCTTCTTCCTCTCTGCAAACTCGATTCGAACGGCACAATTGACCGATTCGCGACCGCTTCATTATCGGTCGTGGCGGCGTCGAAAACGCCACCGACGTCGCCGTACCCCCCTCGCTCCCCGGTAATTAATTTCCGACCAACGATCTCGGCCGCTGTCACGATCGCGTGTGACTTATTCATTGACCATTTACTCGCACCGGCTCGTCGACACCGGCACGCTTTCTTCGTCGTATTTTCTTCCAAAGTTTGACGAATTTCGTCGACTTTGTCGAAACGTATTAAGTAAAATGTACACAAATATTAACATTCCTCGACACGTTTTTCTATTCATTTGCCGTTCCTTGTTTCCACACGTTAGTAGTAATAGTTTACACGTAATTTAGTGACGTGTTTTCGGGGCACAAGAAAGTCGTTTAGGAAAGAGGAAGGACGCGTGACACGGGCGAGATTGGAGGGAAGGCAAATGATCGTCTCGAGGAGGGACCGATGGGCCACTTTCAGCTGGGAACGACGGACATCGTTTCCCTGACTGTGTGTACAGGAGGAAACGTTCGAAGAAGCTGCGGTACACGGTAGCTCAGAGCGCTGTGCAAGCAAGGGACGGTTTATCTACGACCCTCGGCCACGTTCGACGCGCCAACACACTCGACAATATTTAAATATTGTTAAGCAGCGCGATACTTGCCATTGGCAAACACGCTACTACTCGTTCGTGCGATCAAAAAATATCTGCCCAGAGGTTCGTTCAATACTTCATAAGAA